ACTCTTCACGCAGATCTATAGACCAGTCCAGCCTCAAGCTTCGAGGGGAAGAGGTAAACCTTGACATGTCTTCCTGTGTCTGTCATGAGCAGCATCACTGTAATTTAAGCCGTTTTTCCATTTGTCTTTCATACGAACACCAGCTGTGACAACCTGACTCAAGGCTTGCTTGCTAAGTGAATGCAGCAATTTCAGCTTTCCTCGGCAGGCTTTGAGACAAGTTGTCCAAGGCCCCAAAACTCCAACCAACTAATTTCTTTGCTTATTTTTGGAATTTTCTACTTAGGCCAATCAACAGAACCCAGTCAAAAGGCACCTAAAAGTACTGAAGGACTGGAGTTTGTTTTGCTGACTTGTTGCAAATTTACTTCAGCTATGTGGAGACAGTGTCAGCAGACTGGCAGAGAACACTTTTTGGTCATATGTTTATGGGCCATAGCAGGTTAAAAAGACTGCAAAGATCTCCAAGTTCAACCCCAACCTGTCCCCTCCATGCTCTCTAACCACATCCCTCAGTGTCACGTCTCCACAGTTCTTGACATGGTTACTTCTAAATAAGGTGTTTCTATGTTGTTGTGGGATTGCCTGTTTGAATTAGGATGCTTGTAACCTTGTGACTAGGGACAGGACCAAATAGAAAGGACACACTTTACAAGAAGAGAATTTACAGGTGTAAACTAACTGTTCTAACTGTTCTGTGAAATGTAGCTCTTCTAATGGAAAGGGATCCATAAAGAATGAGGCCATACCCTCAGGTTATAGATGTGGCTATCTCAGATGAAAAATGACTGCTTGCCCAAGGGGGCCCCAGCAAAAGAAGAGGCCGTCAAATGTGCTAGTGGGAGGTGTGCTCGTGTTTGCTGCTGCATTCAGCTCTCTAACTGAGGCAGTGAGAGGGAGAGATGGCTCCAGCTGTTCAGGACTGTCTGTTGTTTGCTTTGTTTTTGTTCTCCCTAGATATCACCCAGGCTATGCAAGAGATTGCCAGCGTAAAGCCCAGACAAAAAGCGCTGACAAAGAAACTTTCCAGGAAAAAGGAGATCATGTCTAAAGACATAACCGACGGGCTCTCGCCTGAAAAAATGTATGAAAGAACTGTGGAAGTTTTTGACCAAGATCAGCTGGAATTTAGACATGAAGGTTCAGTCACATGTGAACCTGGGCAGGAGGAATTAGAACTTGTTGAAAAAGAAGCAGTCCCAGAGGACGTTCCTGATGGAGCCCAGATAAGTAAAGCCTTTGATAAATTGTGTAATATTGTGAGGGAGAAAATCAGAGTTTACAAGAGACCAGAGGCTAAAGCTGATTCCCACCCCAAAGGGCGTTATGTGCTGGTAACAGGGGAGGAAAGCTATGAAGAACCTTGCTTCTCATCCATCCCAGCTGGAGGAGGAATCACAGTTTCTACCAGCAATGGGAAGGTAACGATTGGTGGTGATGTGGAGCCCATACCGGAGCTGCCTGAACCTACTGAACCATCAGAAAAAGAGAAAAGGGACATCTGTGAAAGGAGAGACGAGACTGAAACCCAAGATAAACTGAAAGAGGAGGAGAAAGAAGATCTGTTTGAATGGGGCAAAATAAGGGGGAAAATTGAGCAAGTCACAAAGTATCCAGATGTCTCCGAGCCCGAGGCAGTTCCTTGCCCGGGTCTGATAAGCCCTGCTGAGCCAGGAGTACTTCAAGAGACAGAGCATGACCGAGAAGATAAACAGGGCCTCTTGTTCCGGGAAGCAGGCTTGCCTGGCTCCGTGAGCTACGAGAAAGTGGAGGTGGTGGAGTCCATCGAGAAGTTTTCAGATGACAGAATTCAGACATATGAAGAGACAGCTATGATTGTGGAGACGATGATAGAGAAGACAAGCAAGAAGAAACCGGGTGACAAAGGCTCTTAAATGACAAGCAGTCAACTTGTCTGGCATAGTTATTAAATGATGTAATTTTTTTTTCCTGATCGAATGATACAATAGTGAGATTTTTGCTGTTTGGTATGGAACAGATTGATACTTTGGTGGCAAAATTCTGTCTGATGTAGGCTCGGCTGTGTTGTAACGAATGTGAGACTGCTCCAGGACAAGGAGTAATGGGCAGATCCTATGCAACTTATTTTTACAATAAGGACAAGTTGAAATCAATCATCATTACAGAGCTGCCTGACTTTCCGAAGTATCCAGGGCAGATTTGCCAGTGAGTATTCCTCTACTTCTCCTATAGCTGCAACGGGATTCCCCATCTCTCAGCTGCAAATGTTAACTTGTGACACCTGATTCATTTAATAAAAGCTTTGCCTTCTACAGAAAGTACCCACTGTGGCTGTGTGTTGCCTTTACTGTTGAATAACAGGCTGCATTGCTAAAAGTTATCCGATAGATGTGCAGGAGTCTTTCCAAAGGAGGAGCTGGAAATTGAGTTCTCTAACCCATTCCAAATCTCTCTCACTCGCTGTCTTTAACTAGAGGTGACCTTGGGCAGAACACTCTTTTTGGATTTGAAGACAAACCTGCTGTGCTTGAAATAAGCTCGTACTGCACATCTACTCAGAATAGAAATTGAAGTGCCACCAAAATAAAGCGGGGGAAAACCCTTCTAAAATACTCTAAAGGTGTTATTTTTTCCTTCACCAGTATGACTGAGGCATTTATGAGAGCAAACAAGCTTTTGAGCAGACTGCAGGCAGTTCAAAAGACTCTTCATTTTGTTTGTTTCATTTTTTCTTGTTGCTTATTTCCTTGGATTGTAGCATTGTACAGAGTTTGATGCTGCCACGTGATCCTGTTGCATCCTGGTCACTTGCAGTGCCACAGAGCTCCATGGGAACAAGGGCTGCTTGTCCATGTGCCTGGAGAAGCATGAAGCAGCACTCCTGCATCAGATTCTTACAGCTTCCAGAAATCCTTGACTCAGGAAAAAGACAAGAAAAAAAAAAAGAGAAAAGAAAAAGCAAAAGAAATCTTTGTGCATGTGCTAGTGTAGAGCACTATCTGAAATAAGGCCTGAATTCTGTTATGCTCTCTGAGCTGCCAGCCACAACCATGGCAGCAGACGGTGGGCAGATCCTCGTATTTCTCTGAACAAATAGAGAAAAAAACACTGGGAAGTTATTGTTCATAGTGACAATGATGCAATGTGTAGTAAATCTCACGATTTATGGATTATCCACTGCTTTAAATGCAGACTCTCAAACACTAACGCTGAGACGTAGCAGTGGAATGTGTGAGCATTTATTCAGGAAAGCCTGGGATAAGACATAGGTTACTGCCGACACACTGTCACCTCAGTGATAAGAAGAACTAGATGAGGAGATTTCCAGCTGTCTTCTACTGCTGCAGGAATGGTAAGAAATCAGAGCTGTGGTTATTTTAAAATCACACATACGCTGCACTATGGGGCCATGTGTGACCCATACTCAGAAAATATGGGTAGGAGGCAGAGGGAAATAGGATTTTTTGTGGATCAAAGTGCTCCAAATAGTGGAGAAGAATACTGCTGTGGTAGATCCTATTATTTCCTCAGGGCCAGAACTGCCACTGTGTATGAGACAGTGCAAAATTGTCAGTATCTTCCTTCTTGGGCATCCTCTTCCCCACTGATAGCAGCAATTCAGCAATCACACATCTGCAGAGCTTCCCTTGGAGCCACTGGGTTTGAACCATGTAAGCAATGCCCAATGCTCTTTCCAGCTTGCATCCTTGATCTTCTCTATCCCACCCTGCCACAAAGTTAACACCAGGCATGCTGCTCTTCTCTTGTTCCTGTCCACTCTTGTAGGATCGTGTTTGTTTTTTCAGTAACCAAGGTGGGATGTAAGTTTCCTTATCAGTATGAGAAGCAGGAGGTTAGGAAGTCACCTCGCTGACAGCACAGTGCCATCAGATAAGCAATGATGATAGGATGTGCCAATTTACAACAGCTCTTTATTTCACTTGGATTATGAAACCTCATCATGGGGCTTTGGTTAAACAATATTTACCTGTTTCAAGAGTGTCAACTTCCCCGATTATAAAAGCTAATAAATTAACTTTATTTCCCATCAGAAATATCATGAAAACTTAGTCTAACTTGACATATTTTTCAGTGATTCCCCTGATGCAAAAATTCTGAAGAATCTGAAGTAATCTCTATGTTGCATATAGAGGTAGCTTTAGATATACCCATAGCAAAACTCACCATTTCTGTTTATTTATAAGACCATTATTGTGGTCTTTCACTTCACACAGTATGTCAACATTATGAAAATATGATCAATCATGCATTCTGCTGCTAAATAAGTTATTTAATGATTGAATGAAATTGCAAAATTACATGAATGCAATGGAAAGAGATGCACACATTCATTTAAGATTTCCATGTGGACTTTTCTTACTCCACATTCCAGAAATCCATGAATATCTTCCAGTTTTATCTGTTTCTTTGAACACACACATGCAAAAGGAAATGGGGTGTGTATGTGTTATACATTACATACTGTATGTATTCTTTAGGTATTTATAAGAAAATGTATGTAACATACTCTGAGTAGACATATTGTATGTAATACAAAGGTACCACAGGGATGTTCTATGCACCTAGACTTACAGGAGTATGCATAAATACACACATATGTGGTAAATTCTTCCCTCTGATATGCATATGATGCTCTTTCTGGTGCCTTCCCTGAACACCTCCTGCTGTCAGTGTGGGCCCTTCAGTTCCAAACAGACACGAGCAAGCCTGTCCCCAAGCCTTTTGGGTTATGCCTCACAGTCATGGTTTGAAGCAGGCCTGTCTTGTCCTTGGCTTGATTCTTAAATCTGCAGGTTAAACACAGCTGACAATGAAATGTATCAGAACGAATAACAAAGAGTGCTTTAAAAACAGAAACCACACAGGGGCTGGTTCTTGTCCTTCTGACACCTGTGTTATCCAAATATGACCCTACTGTCTCTGCATGTAGTGCAGAACCTCTGAACAGCATGAGGCTGCTTGTCTGGGGCTTACAACGTAATTCACGAAGACTGTGAGTAGATTTAGCTCTTTATTTTGCATTTGTATTTGGAAAGGAAAGAACAGGCCTGATGGAAGGATAGAAGATGGATATTCACTTGAAGTAACAAGAAGTTATACATTTTTAAGTGAAACGTACGCACCATATAACCTTTGGGTTACATTTTTAATTTATTAGATAAATATTTATTTGCTTACTATGTTTCTGCCACTGCACACCTGATTAACCAGGAAGATTCTTAGTAAAACAATTTAGATGAATACTCTGTATATTAAAAATACATAATAAAACTCTGAAACCAGTCACTGCCAAAACAGTGAATGTCTAAGCAGTGGATGTTGGATCCTTCCGACATCTTAAGCACCTGCTTCACATCAATGCTTCAGTAGGTCTGCTGCTGTTACTGTGAGTGCAGTACTTGCAGAATCAAGACCCTTTATTTCTCAGACGTTCAATTTGGGCTCTCACACTTGAGAACCTGTAGTGGTTGTTACCTTGAGTCCACACAGAGGGGAGCGTGATGTGGCAACAGCCAGAGCAGACCCCAAGGCAGGTGAGACAGACTTACGTGTGAAAGCTGAAGGTGGGACTGACACCAAAAGCAAGAATTACTGACAAATCTTCCCAAATGCACTATATTTTATTTTCCGAAGAAGGCCAACGTTGCATTACACATAAATTACATAGGCATATTTTTCTCCTTAAATATATTTGTATAACACAAAAATAACAAATCTCTATTTTTAAAAGTGAAATTTGAATTAAAATGGTTTGGGGACTCAAGCTGCGTTTTTCTTATTTCCCACAGCAATTTGCTGACAGCCAGGCTGAAAACCCCAGAAAACAGGGGTCTGAGATTGGAAATGCTGAGATGGCTGCATCTTCTGCTGCTGTAGTATAGAGCATTAAGTATAGAGGTGGACAGATGCACTTTGGCACACAGGTTGCAAGAAACCTTACAGATCATTCCCTACGTACTCATACCACTGTAAGATGGTAAGCTGATCTAAATTAACAACATAATAATAACAAAAAACAACCCGCTCTGAAATTTGTGCTTCTAGAATGCCCTGACTGTTTGCAATGCACTTCCCTTTATCACCTGGCCCTAGCATTGCCTTGCCTTCCCAATTGCATGCTTGTTGCAGAACCATTCTGTGGCTGAAGTGCTAATGTGTATACTGTCTATGTGTTTATACTAAAGAAAACTCTAAAACCGGTTTCCAAAAATTGGACTGAAAATTTTTCATCTCTAGATCATCTCTTTTTCTAGGGTCTAGTGCTATTTTGGTTGAACTCAGTGGGGAAGTTCCCACAGAAGCCCATGATTCAAAAGGAGCTGTTAGACATTCAAAGACCTCTCCAGCCAACCTCTTTGTAAATTCCCTCTTTCACAATAATTTTTTAAAATGCACCCATTATCATCAACAGCCTATATTAAAATTCACTTTTTTTGTTGTTTTTTTTTTAAATACAAACAACAGATACCACAAAAATATGAAGGGAATAGCTATTGGCATGTTTACAGGTATTACCTATTTGTATGACACAAAAGAAAAATCATTTACAGTCACAAACTGTACATAGTTATTTGGTGGGGGACAATATATTTGTGGTTTAGAGTAAAAAAATGATTGCTTTGGTGGTGATTAAAATAATTATTGACAATATATAAGACTTTAAAATCAAGAAAGTGATAATTTGGCTACAGAGACGATCATTGTTATATGTCTAACACAGAGGTTTGGATAGCAGAAAGGTGAACAGAAGGATCTGGGAAAGGAAAGACACTCATGCAGAACAGCTCTAGTTCTTGCTCAGTATACTCTTCAGGCTTCTCTCCACTGCTTCATCTAATTCTTCTTCCAGCTCTTCCTTCTTGGACATGGCCAGTTTGGACTGATAATCTTTTACTATTTGGTCTATGTATGGTGCGCTCTGGGTCCCGTGCAGCATCAGTGTCCACTCCTTCAGCACACCCCGCTGCGGCGCACCGCCAATAAACCCAATCTCTAGAACCCAGGTGCCTCGGGGGTCTTCTCCCCAAGTGTGCGTGGTCATGAAAGGCCATTTGTCAAAACCCACCTTGGAGTCATCATCCCTTGGACGTCGGCTCAGTAGGATGGACTTCGTTCCCATTGGCGAGGTCATGTTGATGTTGAGGTCTCCTCGCCGAGTTGAATTCACAGTTATAACTGCTTGGACGTGTTCAAGGTAACGGACAAAATTCTCCTTCCCCTCACAAGCATCAGTTGTAAGTGTGAGGACTAACTTGCCACTTGGTGGTATCTTTCTGCAGTCAAAAGATAATTAAGCAAATTAAAAGGATATTTACAGCACGATGGCTTATTCTAAAACCATTATTTATTGATGCCTTAGAGAAAAACCTGTACTGTTTGCCTCATTAATATATGAAAAGGTAAGGAAATAATAGCTGCAAACCTAACCAGAAATAAAACATTCTCTTTTTAGAAAATGATATTAAAACTCTAATTTGAAAATACATTATGAAATGTACACCTACACAATGAAAGAATACTATTAAGAAGTGCATAACTGCTATTTAAGAAACATTAACATTTACTTAATAGCTGCCTCTACTTCTCACTGCTATTATTGGGTATTTGCATAATAATGTGTTTTCAGTTAAAGAGCCATGAGTAGTTGGTTGTGTCAGCCACCTCAAAAGACAGTAGCAAACCACTCTGGAGCCACTTGCACAAAAATTCAGTGCTGCAGTATTCAAGTCTGTATCCTTGCCGTGATTCGGAAACTAATGCAAATATTGAACCTCATTTCAGCTCACTTGAAAAGTATGCTTCCAAGAAAATTATTGGCCTCGAGCTGATCCCGAACAGGAGTGCTCAGGAAGGAAGCACACTTGTTTGCTGAGCTGCCAAACACGCATGCACTCACAGTGCTGTTGCACCCCACACAGCTGAGGAAACCTGGGGAAGCATTTACACTGGCCCTGTGCAAAGCAGGTGGCACACAGCACCCAGCACTCGCAGTCCTGCTCAGGACCTAGGTTTTGCAGTGAAATATGGAAGTGTGTCTCTTTCAAGGGGCACTGACTGCATTGTGTAAGTGGAATGCCTTCTCTTGAAAAGAAATGAGAGTGTAAATCCAACAGAATCACAGAATCACAGAATTGTAGGCATTGGAAGGGACCTCCAGAGATCATCGAGTCCAACCCCCTGCCAAAGCAGGTTCCCTACAGCAGGTCGCACAGGTCGGCATCCAGGCAGGTCTTGAACATCTCCAGAGAAGGAGACTCCACCACCTCCCTGGGCAGCCTGTTCCAGTGCTCCGTCACCTCACTGTAAAGAAGTTCTTGCGCACATTTGTGCGGAACTTCCTATGCTGCAGTTTCCTGCCGTTTCCCCTTGTCCTGTCTCCACTCACCACTGAAAACAGTCTGGCCTCTCCATTCTGCCCCCCACACCTTAGATATTTATAGACCTGGATCAGGTCCCCTCTCGGTCTTCTTTTCTCAAGGCTGAACAGACCCAGTTCACTCAGCCTTTCTTCATAGGAGAGATTCCCTTTGCTACTGAAATAGTGCATTCTTCAGAGAGCAGTGAAAGTGTTTCATTCAAGCGTTTCCTGACTTTCAGGAAATCTCTTCCTGAGACAAGCTCTAAGTCTCAGACTAAATCTCTTTAAGTCTCAGACTGAGACAGTCTCTAAGTATTGTTCAGCACATCACTAATACCAGCTCAGGCCTGTCTCTGTCCTCCTCTCCTAAAAGGTTGATTTCTTGGGACTACTTGCAGAGTAAATACACATTTGTGCCCAGATCCTCAAGGCATTCACTTACCTTAAACGGTCTAAAAATGTAGCATTCTGAATTTTCAGGATGTGCTACTGCAGAAGCTATAGGTATAACATAAATATTATATAGCTAAGGTATTTGAACACCTCGGTCTGATTCCCTCGAGATGCATTTTGTGTTCCTCAGCACAAAGAAAATGCACTATATGGCAGCTGGAAGTGAAGAACATCATCTCACGGTTGCTATCTGCTTGAAATTTCTCTGCATGGGAAGCACCAGCCTCAAAGCAATCTGATTTGTTATCATCTGATACCTACTTACAATGCTTTGCCATGCTTACATCTCTGGCAGTGAATGAGGGAGGACCTCACAGTGTGAGTCTTCTCTATCAGCACCAAAATATGGTGCCCTGTTTCTGCTAATGGGCAATGCTGCTGTGGTACACACCCCTGTGCCATCACTATCTACCTAAGTATATAGGGAAAATAGATATACAAATATATGTGTTCTATATGTCTATATGTACATACAGCAAATGCTGCTGCTGCTGCATGATCAAACTGGAAAAACAAGTGGAAGTGCAGTAGAAATTTCATAATCAAATACAAACCCATCTGGACGATGGGAGCAAACTCAGTCTTTGCTTGGTAGAGCTATCTACAAGGGAAGCATATTGGATTAATTTCTTCTTATGACAGAATAATGATGCTTTCAGAAATGGCACCGAAATGTCAGATTTCAAGTGTTTCAAGACATAAATTGGCCATCATTAGGTCAATTTTTCAATAATTGAATTGAATGATAGCTGTTGTAGTCAAGTAGTATTAATTCACTTGTTGACTCATTCACTTTAGCACGCAAAGGTAATCAGAAAATAATTTGACAACCTAGCCTGCCTGCAATTAGTGACTTGAAGAACAAGCCAAACACAATTAAATGCTGTAACATGCAAACTGAATGTCTGGTACCTATAGATGACTGTTTCTTCTGAAGATAAATCTGCCTGCTAAAATAGGTCAGCAGGACTTGGCTAAGAAGTATTTCATGCGGCAGCAATTTGGGCAATTTATGGGGCCAGCCTCCCAGGTTTTCACTCATGCACAAGCTCTTTATTCACACAAACTTTGGTGCAAACATACCAGTAAGCACTTATGAGAAATGGATGCTGCTATTGACACTACTGGTGTTTATTATGTGTTCATTATGTTTCTCTGGTTATCGAGCTCTTTGTCAAGGTATTTGCATGCCTGTGATCTCTTCAATGGCTGAAAAAACAAAATACGTATACTGGACTTACTCAGGTTCCTGTATTGACCCCCCAACACAGTGGAATCTCTCGGGAACGGTCTTCCAGTCTTTTGCCATCTTAACCATTGCTCCTGCATCTAGGACACCATAGCCAAACAAATGATTGAACTCCAGCCCAACACCATTCCTACGCCACCGATGAACTTCATCGTGAAGCTGGTTCCTTTTGGAGGTGAGAACTGTCAGATGCTGCATGTCTCTCCAGGTCAGATCCAAGCTGTGGAAAAGTAACAGGGAAAACAAACAGTACAGTCTTTTCCCAGAGATATTAAATAAAATAACGTAAGTCCTTTGCTGAAATTTGCTTCTGTGAATCTCACAGAAATGGAATCTATGCACATACCAGTAAAAAGCTTCTGTTGATTTCAAGGGAGCAAGAATAGTTTCTGAAAGCAACTGCTTTCAACTAGACATGAACTATCTACTATCTACTGGGAATGAGTAGGATAATATACCAGATCCTGAAAACAATGCAAAAAAAAAAAAAAAATTATGGACAACTTTGTGAAACCCTTGTCTTAGATCTCACTCTCTTTTCCTTGCCTGCTCCACCTGCTTTTTCCATGGACCTCCCAAGGTTCATCCAGAGCAGCTCTGCTCAGATAGAGCTGGTGAGCTCTAACAATCAAGGTCGCGGTCATTTCAGCAGACTGCAAATGTGGATATATGAGCTGTGGGTGGCTGCAGGTTTGCATTGTAAGCTACTATAGAGCTTTATCACCCATGATCTGCTAGCACAAATGGATGCACTAAAGGAACATTTGTCTAGATTTTGTGATCATTTTTCATCATCAGCTCTTGTCCTCCTAGCTTTGCAGTGATTATGATGATAGAAAGGGCACTTATAAGTTATTATTCTAAAAGATTCAGAACTGACGTTTTAATTCTACATAGCTGAAGCTATTCCATTTGTTTTATGATGAACTCTTTCAGCATTATAATATGTCTGATTCAAATCATCAACTGAAAAGGTTCTGTTTTTCAGCTTTCTGTGCCCTAAGTAATGCATGCATGCATGCTGAATGTACACCAGAATAACTAATTGCTTTCATTTTTTCAAGGTGACATGAGATACAGAACACCAAAGATCACTTGCAAAACTTTTTAAAATGGAACTTCCCATCTCCCAGATTAGTTTGTTTTCAGAGACATGTCAGATGTACACAAGCTGAGAGACATACTGCAGGCAAGAGCAGCCAGCATGGGAAATTGCTAGCCATTCCTGTGAAGGCAACTGTTACTCATCCAGGAAAATTCTGCACAATACAACAGAAGTTTATGACAGCCAGAGTGGTAGGAGACACAGACAGTTCTTTCTTTCTTTCCTTCTCAGCAAAGGCTAGAGAACCAGCTGCAGACCAGGGGAATTAGTCTTAATTTCTACTCACAACAGTTTGATAAGATTTATTACCCACTTCATGGGCAGCCCAGATAAAGAGTAATGATCATTATTACTGAGAAATCAGGACTGTAGTCCAAGTTAAACATGGAGTGGTCAGAAAATTCATTAAATCCTTATTTGTATGGCCATATTAATTTATTACATTGTGGCTGTCCCACTGAACAAATCTGATAGTGGAAGGATTGATCGTCCAAAGTTAAGATACTTGGCATGTTTGTTTGACACACATAAAATCTGAAAAATGAGAACTGGCCCAAGTTGTGCTCTGAGCACAATAATCACTGCTCCCCTGGTGATATAAATTTTGTCTCCTCTGCTAAATCTTCATTCTTCCACATACTGTCAGAGAGAACTATGTACATAGTGTTCAGTTCATGCTGAGATTACAGCATCTGAAGCTGTATAGCTGAGCAAGTGCTTTTCCATTTCATAAAACAGTTCAACACAAAGGAAAGAGATGGTGTAGATTATTGTAAGGAAAACTTTTCCTAGTCATTAGAAAAGAAGATAATGAGGCAAGATATACTAGAGGTCTCCAATGTTATAAATAGCATGAAGAAGGTAAACAGACACTGGATATTTGTTCTTCCACATAACATAGCAATTATATAGCACAAAAGCAGATTACCAGCCATGGGATAAGGAAGGACAAAAGAAGCATTCCACACCACTGCCAACAAATATTATTATTGTGGAACTGATTGACACTGGATGATGCAGATGCCAAATCACTGACAAGCTTAAAAAGAGTCAGACAAATTCGAGCTCTGCCTGCGGCTGTTAAAAGGGATAGGCTGATCGCTCCCTCCCCAAGCAACTGACTGCCCAGGCTGCTTACATGAAAGATCACTGTTCATCCCTGCTTCTTACTCACTCCGCTATATATTTTCCACTGTGAACAGTCTGTGGGACAAGATGAACTCTCATCTGATACTACAGATTCATTATTTTGCTTTTGTAAGCTGGGTGCTCCCCACTAAATACGTGGAGAAATGAAGTAACCTCTCCCTCAAATAGCGCTGGGAAGACAAACCCCTGGATGTACAGGACACACAGAGAGCAATTCAATCAAAATGTATCTGCCTGTGACCTGGGGAAGACCACAGGTTGCCCTGTAAGTCACCAGCCATGTCTCTACTGTATCCAACAATGCATCAGCTGCTCATCCTGCTTAATCCAGCAGCCATGTTCATACGATGAACATTAAACAAACCCCAGGCCCACTCCTCTCCGAGCTCACAAGGAATGCCTTAACAGCATACTTAGCCTCCAGCGCCAAGGCAAACACTCCTGCTGCTTCAGGGGCAGCTGCAGACGTTCCTGAGTGACGCAGGGTGCAGTTGCCATACAAGTCTGTTGTAGCCTGCAATGATATTAGATTTAATTAATGAAATGAGTTATTCCATTTTCCTTGCAGCTGCAGATGTAGAACAATATAGAGAGTGGAGTTTTGCACTTCAGAATAATTGTGCATTTGTTCAGAGGATCTGTCTTCTTTGGAACTGTGTATGAATTTAAAGTATTGGGGGACATAGTTACAGAAGGTAGGAATGCAAGAATAGGTTACAATGTAGGAAAACAACTTTCACTACCACTTAGGTCTCAAACTTAAACAGATATCAGTTATTTCCTATAAGCAAAGTTTAACCAAACTTAAGTTTCGCCTTAAGTTTCATTATGGTTGTCATGAGTGTTGGAAACTAGAATTGTTAACAGTACTGAGATTTCTAAGGCTTACACAACTCCAAAGCCAAGACTGGCTGCAGACTTCCATGCAGACCTAAGGAAAACCTTAGAAGTCCATTTTATGGCGATAATTACAAAGGTATCACTTTAGCTGATACCAGCACAATGCTGACACCAAGACAGAAAGCAGTATTTTTCTATCTGCTATTGCACACAGGCATTTAGGATGCTACCTAAAATGAATAAAGTCTTTGGAGCTTGAGATAGAGTTAAGGAAAATGTATAATGGCTTTTGGGAAGGGCAGACCTTGAGTTACTACACCACAGTTTTCCCTTCTGTGAATCAGACTACATCCTGGCTAGTCTGGAGGTGCTGAAGAGCAGTATCAGTATAGTGGAAGGGAATCCCAGTTAGACTCGAACATTAAACACATATTTTCCACTAGTAAGTATGGCCCTGTAAAGGACTTGAGTATGGTGCTCCACAGTGCTCTCAATGCTTGACTGTATCTCTGAGGGTAATCTGAACATCCACATTTCCTCTAAGGCAACTGAATGCCTGTTTGCCCTGTTCAGCTCCTAGTACAGCAGAAATCTGATTCGTGACTGCTCTGCCAGAACAATTAAGGATGATTTCAGATATCAACCCCTTTTTTTTTTAAGCTTTAAACAGAAGCCTTTTGTCAAATTGTCCTCTGGAAAGAGGGCAATTGAACTTCTAAATCTGGTTTCTGATAAAGGAAAGCACGAAATATATGAATCTCTAAGATATGGAAGATCACTGCTGTTCTCAATGTTAATTCCACATCTCCTCAGCTGACAGCCTTGGCACAATCACATGCTGCAGACGAGAAAATATCCATCTCAACAAAGGACCATCTGGAGCTCCAAAGCAGTCAGAGTTGTAACGGGTCGTGGGAGTGCAAAAAGACAGCAGCAACACCACAATAATATCTGGACTCACCACGCCAGCCTCCGGATTTCTCTTCCTCCCATTACTGAATGTGGAGGCTAGGGTTGAAGAGCAGCTTTCATCATACAGAGCAGTCCGTCCATCATTTATTGCAGAATTGATGGAGATTGTCCACATACTTGATGCATAACCGTCACAGTTGCAGTCATCGTAGCTGCCCCCATCTCCAGAGGCCCAGACGTAGATGCTTCCTTTTCCTCCCCGGCCCTGTGAAAAGGGAAAGTTGGCCCTCCTGGATTAAACTGCAAATAGAAAACAGCACCTATGCTCAACAGCACACGTAGTTGTGAAACTAAACATCTCTAAAGGAGAAAACTGGTCCAAACAAAATATACGCCAGCTGTAAGCTGAAATAAAATGGGCTTCTGCAGGTTATTAAAATTGGTTAACTGGCAGCCACAGCCAACTTTGCAACTTCATGCACACGGAGCGTTTCCATTTATCTCCTGCTTTGTTTGATGCCCTGAAGGTTTCTGTGCCATATGCTGAGACATTTTATAGATTCATTAGTGCTTATGTCAAAGTCTAAATGCTTTAACGAAGGTGTTCTTTTATAAGCAATATAGGTCATCTCAGACACTGGCTTTGTAAGATCTAATTAGGTTTGGACAAGGACTACAAAATCTGTAAAGCCGGCACCTTTTTCCTCTCAATACTCTCAATAGATTTTCTCTTAAGTATCACTGACACAGAGCTGTTTGGTTTTTTGTTGTTTTTTTTTTTTGGCAAGTCAGCTTCTATGACCAAGCAGCAAAAAAGAAATCAAATGAATCATCTACAGAAAGATGGTCTACCAAAACCACTGCAAAGTCCAGAGATGAATGGGAGATACTGAAGCTATGACCTTCCTGTTAAAAAAATTTGTATCCTCTCTCCCATTTCAGGTAAGCAAGGAGTGGGAAGGGATCAACTCCACTCCGTCTTCTCATGCCATCCTAAGACTGGAAGAAGGTAAGACCTCAGAGCCTTAATGCTTGGAGGAAGATCAATGCCACTGAAACCAAGCACAGATCTCCCACTGATAGCAGCACAGCCAAAATTTCTCTCTGTTTAGTCTAATGTCCAGTGTTTACTTCCAGCAGCATCACCAGGGTACAAGGCCTCAATTTAGCATACTGTTTGTGTGTGCACTGGGTAGAAGATGAGAAAAAATATCTTCTGGTCTTTTCATTGTCCAGCAAAAAATGGAAATTAAAGCATATGCAAACAAAGCAACTTGCAATGGTATTTTAATAAGAAGCTTTTCTGCAAATAATTTAGATAAAATCTGAACTCTCAGCAGTAGCTTCTATTTTTCATCATACCTCACTGAAAAGAGCAACCTCATTATTTCAAGCATCTTAGAGGGTTACATTATAATCCACTGAATTGCACAGCAGGTCTGCTGCCACTGGGGTACGTAACACCTCAGGACAGAGATTTTCATAATTAAGATGATGACTATGAAATAAGCGTCCTGAAATCAGTCTGAGAACTCCTACCAAGATCTGAGATCAATCATTTTAGTTTTAAAGGAAGAGGATGCTGTGGCAAAAATACATAAAATCAAAATAATGAGCTTGTGCTAGACTGCTGCTACCTGGGCTTTGGACTCAGTTCCCAGACTACATCACAAGCTTGCTGTCCTGCCCACATGTACCATCACACCACCGTGTCACCATCTGTGCCTTTTGGACAGCCTCAATGACAGCTAGAGCACCCGCCACAGAAGACCACGCTGCTAGTGCCAGGAACAGGATGTTTGGCATGTCTGGGACTGATCTTAAACAAGCCTTTCCTTCTAGCCATTCTGAAGAGAGATGAAACGCTTAATTTTCATGTGACAAATTCAGGAAAACAGCCTGGTGCCAGGCAGTTAGCATTCATACAGTGTTGGGAAGCAGACTTTGCCCTGCATGGCAAATGGCTCCGTGCTGCCAAAAGTGGGAATTGCTGCAAAGCAGCACACACCCCACAGATGGGATTTGTGGTGGATGGCAGAAAACAGGTATAACAGATTGCTGGTGGGTTCAGGTGGCATCCACAACGGAACTGAAATTTGGGGTTGGGTTTGTGGGTGTAGTAAGCCTGCTAAGTGCTAGTGAGGGCAGGTATAATGCCATCACTGTCTATTTGGAGAACAGTCAAAGGATATCACTTCTATGAGAGGTGCATCCACAAGTGTGGCGTAATGGTGTTTTATGCTGGTTTGTTTGGTTGTTTTTTTTTTTTAACCTTTTAATACTCTAATTTCTATTGCATTTCCCTTTCAGCCAGGACTTGAAAGGGAAAAAGCTGATAGCAGCCCTAGTGCAATATTTGCAATGATTCTTAGGGCGGGTTTGCACATGCAAACTGCTCATTGACTGTCCGCAGGCATTACTCCAAGTACCATGCAGAAATGTATGGCTTCAAAGGAAGTTAATTTTCAATTCCCTGGATGGTATTTGTGTAAACCAGAAAAATCTCACTGGGGTCAACCAAGCATCATACTTAAAGCCAACTGAAAGCTCCTTTTACATCTCAACTTTTATGAACCTCAACAATTTCAGTGTTGTCACTCAACTTAGACTGCTGTAAATTAAGGACAAAAACAAGATTGGACAAGATGCTAGTAATAGGCACTAGAAACACCAGAGGGAGCCTGAAGGAAGATCAAGAAATAAGAGGGAAGACTGCAAGACAAGAAGGTACATTTTAAAGAGTATATTTTCTCCACAATCCTGTTGAAATCTGTTCATTTTCCCCAAAAGCAATACAGAGCTTGTCACTCACACTTCTGAGCCATCTGAAGCCACAACTCGCACTCACAGCTGAAAATGGATCTCAGTGCATTGAGGAGCAGCCTAAAAGAGTCTCACCTCTCAAATCACACTAATCCGAATGAAATCCAGAGCAAGGCTATATGCTCAGAAAGTCACAGACAGCTACTGAGAAGTTTTCTTGGCAGAAACAGCAGGTTTTCTATTTCCAGTGCTCTTTGTGAGATGTTGTGCTACTGGCAAAAAATATCCCAGAGAAGTTTTATTATCCATTTTCTCAACTTCTAAAGACCATAATCCCAGGAAAATTCCTTTACTGAACAACCTTGCAAAAGTGAACAGGCAGGGAACTGCAGTCTAATCCATTTTATGTAACTTAAGGTGAACTCTTTTTCAGTTTTTTATTGTGTTCATACATCATGCTTGCTGAGCTAGTGCGTAAGCCAGTATTCCTCTAAGCTTTCATTCCTGGATCACACTTTCCAGATAAAAGCTGGTGGTATTGGCAAATAAATCTCCTTCAGCTTCCCCTGGCCCTTCTTGTAAAGACTGTCAGGTGTTCCTGTAACAGCTGGGCCCCTAACACAGCTCAGCCTCTGCTTTAGCTCCTGTAAGTTGCTCAGTCCAGCCCAGCCATCATGGTTGCTAAAGGTGGATGGAAGGAACATCACAGTCTTTACAGCCTGTCTCTGGTACAGACTCTCTGGCTTTGCACTTTTTTTCCTTTTTTTTTTTTTTTTTTTTTGCATGACACAATAGTAATTCTGCATTTATTCTGAGGAAAAAAAGTGTCTCACAGCACCTTCTGTATAGTTTAGTAGCAATTTTTGTGCCTGCTATGATAAGACATGAGCTGTTTTTCCAGGAAAGGCAAAAGAATTCTACAGCTTTTTCAAGTCTCTGCCATTGGTCTTAGCAACTTTTGGATAGGACTTGGCCAGTTACCATTCTTTATTATTTTCCACTTATTTCCTCCTTAAACAGTCCTTGTTTCTCTTTCAACAGCATCATTAGAACTTTTGGCACTGAATTATTTGGAAACCCTTACATGTTTTGTAATTAAGAACTGCATCCTTCAGTAACATTTGCGAATTATCCTGCAAACTGTGGTTTGCAGCCCAGGGCATGGCGTATCCAGAACACGCTGCTCTGCCTGGAGGAGCTTTGCAGCACTGGAAATTTCCATCATGTTCCCCAGCTGGGGAACCCCAAGGCAAGGAAGGATGTGGAAGAGCTGCAGCACCATCTGCCTGCTGTTGGGACCTGGTGGATGTATTGGGCTGGGCTCTCCGGCCATCGAGGAGCTCTCCCCACCTCTGCCTTGTGCAAGTAGCCCAGCTGTGTGGTTTAAGCCAGCTGGAATCAGCAAGACCTTGGCATCACCAAGCTGTTGCTGTTTTTATTTTTGCACTGCCAGGGTTTTCTGGAGCCTGCCTGTGTTCTCCTGCATCTCTGACCCGCTGCCAGCTAGCAGCCCATTGAGACCTTATTGACTTTGCTAGCTGGCTGACTGGTTCCTCCTAGCAGATTTCTAAAGCAATTTGGGTCAAGTCATAATCACCCAAGTACATGAGATTCCTTTATGAGATTCTCAAAGAATGAGCCCTGGAATTGTCAAACCCTAACAAAATGCTTTATATAACTTACTCCAGTCTTTATTAGGTCACAGAAGAATACTGAACTCCCCTCCAACAATCCCCAATTAACTGTGCAATTGTTAATACTTCCTTTCACTAAAAATAGTGCTTGAGCTATTTTCTATGCCTAAATTATTGTTGAAACTAGATGGGCTTCTGTTAGCCAAGAGAAATGAGTGGAAAAATACAGTTTTGGTGAAAAGAAGCAGCATCAGCTTTCAATTATGGTTCACCTCAGCAGGAGGGGAGCTTGGAAAGTGCCAAGAGAAAAGCTTCTATTTAAAAATAAAATAATTCCGCCTGCTCAAAATCAAACATTTCTTCTTTCCCTTCCAAATTTACTCTCCAACATAAATTTGATCCATTTTACAAAAGAAAAGAACTTGATGATCAGTACAAAATAAGCAAAATCCATCAACTGAAATGTTCTGGCTCAGCTTAAACTAGCAATTCCTTTTTGTTGGATCCTGAGCTGCACATCACAAGTGATAACACATTACTATAGCCCAACAATTCTGCAGATACAATTCTGATATTGGTAACATCTGTAAAAAAAATCAATCCCATTGCTCCATGCTGGTCCAAGCTATGGCAGTACAGCAGTTTTCTACTCCTTATGTGACAGTCATCTAAATCTTTGTGAAGGGCAATATTTAACGTTGTCGCAGGATCGGGTGGAGCACAAGCCTTACAATAGCCAAGGTCTTCAGCTGCCCAAGGCATGCCCGAAGCAGCAGATATCACAACAGAAACCAATGAGATTTGGGATTTACACCTGTCCTGTTCCCCAGATATGTGTATTCATTCCCTGAGCTGTGGCAAGAAAGTAGATGCTCACAGACTGATCTCCAAATCTGGAACTTGTTCATGGTGATAGGGCGTGCATCCCATCACTAGGTTAGAAAAGCTGTTCATGCTGCTTTACTGAAGCCTGAAAGTATCCCACTCAGCCAAATGGGTAAACATCAGAAAAGCTGACATACAATATACTCATGTGGGATTGTAATTTGGTTTGATTTTAGCTTAAATACGTAAGACAAGACTTGTAATTGCAATGCATATTCTAGACACAATAGCAATATGATAGTAAAGGGCTCCAGAGATACAAAGAAGCTTGTACGACTTCCTTAGAAATGAAGTAATCAGAAGGCAATGTCATAAAATAATTTCCCTATCCTCACTTGGCGACTGAGCCAACAAAACAATGTTAGATGTAGTTGCATATACATTAATGATGTACCAAACTCAGCATATTTCAAACAGCAAGAATGCAACGTGCTTGGCCTTGGATGGAGGCAAATGAGAAATATTTCATTTTCCATGCTATCCTTTCTTCTTCTACTACTGAGCCCAATTACAGAGCCATGATGAGACTATAAATTCTTAGTATTGCTCCCTTGGCAATTTGCACTTGTATAGCATTTTCTTAGGTAGAACCATATTATGGAAGCAACATTTTCACCAACACAGGCACGAATGGATCATGTCTTATATATCCTGGATGAGCTGGCAAAGTCTCAAGAAATTAATTCAGTCCATGAGCAACTCCTTGCAACTCACTAATACAAAAGCCTATATCATAAAAATGCAATAGATAGAGACTATATTACTCTTTTTTTTTAATATCTGCCTTAAATTCCAATTGCTGAAGCTGGAAATATTGAGCTCATAAAACAGCAAGTAAGAGATGTTTACTGGATATTGCATTAAAGATGGGTTATATCCGTAAAGCGTGGGTGGAATAGTTCTTGAGCTAGTTACTTTTTTCTTACCTTACAGTTTAAGATGTCTCATGACATAATCCTGATTGAAAGGTACCAGCAAACAAAAGATACATAACTAAGAGAGTTGTGCTATCACTGGGAAACCACCTGTCCCTCCAAGGTGTATAGCCCCCAAAATAGGTAAGCACAGGTCACACAAGGGATACATAAATCACACAGCATTGCTCTGTCCAGCTGTATTTTTTACAGAATGCTACTACAGGCTCACACCCCTTCTCTGAAATGAAAGTTCCTCTCAGCCATGATACAGCTGTTACTCAACACTGGGCTATTTATTCCCAAATCTACCATGGCAGTTTCTGGCCCTGCTCTGCGTTTTAGTTTGTAGCTCTGCACCTGGAATAACCACCCTCTATAGCTCACTGAAAAAATGTATCTGTAAACATGCAGTACATTAGGGGCAATGCAACTGAGCATATGAGAAGGCTGGTTGGTACAGGGGTAAGGTATTTCAGGACATCCAGAACAATGTTAGGTCAGTGACTTACTGAGGCTGTAAAGAAATATGACTCTTTTCTCCCTATATGCCACAATATGCTGCTGTCCACAGATGATGCCTAGAAGCCAGACAGTAACATTTCATTAAATAAATCCATTACAGCTCCTGGCAACTGTGTTTAAAGAGGGAGCAACAGAGCACATTCACCAGACAGAACCACATTTGTCCCTTAGCCCATTGCAGGCTACCCTAATGAACATATGACTCAGGCACAGTCTAGCACAGTTGCCTGTCACAGTGAGCAGCCAGTATCAGATGCCTTGCAGCTCAGGGATATTTGTGTACAAAACTACTTCAACCTCTACCCTCAAGTGCCTGCTAATTCAGCAGTGAGCTCATACATCTTTGCAATGCAACTGCCACTATTCAGTGACCCAGTCACACTGCTGACTACTGCCCCTAAACAAAAGTCCTCCGATAAGACAGTGAAGAGCAGATTGTATGAAAAGTGAGTGAATTGTGGCCTAGCAACAAACAACAGCTAACTACTTTCTGATTACATGTATTACACTTGGTTATGAATGCATGGCTTCAAACCACACATCCAGACACACAAACTAGAAGTGTTATCATCATGTTACAGTTGTCAGGCAAGTGCTTGCAACAGGCATCCCAGCAGGTTTGGAAGGAGGATGCCAAAGACAAAACACCAGAATAGAGTCTGGGTAAGAATGAAACTCACATCTCTCCTTGAGATAAATTCCCAAGTATGGCAGCAACAAAGCAAACGTTACCAGTGTTTGTCAGTTCAGTTAACTGCATATTCCCTTTAAGAATTTAATCTCATTCCCAATTTCTTCTTAGTTTATTGCCTTAGAGGCAAGGATATTAATCTTGCTCTGTGCAAGAGATCTTCCATTTCCTTCCAGGATATTTGAAAGTATTGCTTTTAGTTCAACAACACATTTTTATTCTTAGCATGTTGCTTCCTCCCTGCCAATATTTCAGCTTCATCACTAATTTATGAACCATCACTCTGGTGAGAATCAGCCCTAGACTGAGAAAAAGCGTTCCTGCATTTATTTGTCTCAGTTTGTAAAATATGCTATTTTCTCTTTAATAAGAAGTGTTGTTTTAAAATATATATATATATTCTGAAAAGTGAGGTTTACATTCGTACACTCAGTAGAGAATTTTGTGTGTAGATTGTAGACCTAAGATAGGTAGAATGGTACCATATCAAAAGCTTGTTAATCTTCCCTTACATGCAGGGAAGCCTGTAGTGGGTTTTTCAAAGCACCATGGAGAGTTCCCAGCATCCACAGAAATGATGAAATGCCTTTGGGAAATCTGTCTCTCCATGAAAAGAAATCAGAACAAATTATATCCCCAAACCTTTCTGTGACAGGAAATGTAATGAACATAATTAGGATAGATAAAGCTATGCCAAAATGCAAAGGGAGTTATCTAGAGGGGAGCTATCTCTTCTTTCGTGCATGTATTGCCAGGAGATATCTAGGATACTGCCACTATAAAATTAAGTGTAATTGTTCCTAGACAACAGTATCTTTCTCAGGTACAATCCAATACTATTCCTTCTGCCCTCCAACTCCACAGTGGTTGTTTGACAGAGCTGTTTCCTAATTTGAGCTCTTCTGTTCATTTCATGCCTTCTGATACGGTATGAGAGCTATCTTTCCCAGAAAGCACCTCACCAGCACCCTTCTCTCTCCTTAGCAAGCAGCCTAAGAGATCTAAGAGATCCCAGATCCTCATACCTCATACTGTAAATTACTTCTTAATGAGACTGACAACACATTTAAGGGGAGGGCATTAAAAAGTTATGTGACCAGACAATACAACAGCGAAGAAAAATCTCTTATCTCTTTTTAAGCATTTAGAAAGGTGTAATGTCAGCATAACTCCACAAAATAGAGGACATGGGGACACAACAGCAATTTGATTGAAAGCTCTTTTAAATATTAACCCGGGAAAAAAAAACAAAACAAGTGAAACAAAAAAACAACAACTCAACACAACAAACCTTTCAAAGTAAAACCTGCTTCTCCTGGAAGGGTTAAATGCCTTCTCTTAGATTAGTTTGCATTACCTTTCAGGGGCTACTCATGCTTTTTCTGTTACTTCTTGACTAGTTTTGCATGGAAGTAGAACAACAAAAAATTGGAATGGGAGGTTATCTCTGCTCCATCCAACATTAATGGAAGAAAAATCAAGTATCCAATAGCACATCAGGGTGCTGCTAAAAATACAGCTGTGCTACAGACTGAAGAAGGATTCTCCCCAAAACAGAAGTATCTAAGGGGATCAGGAAAGTCTTTATGAGGATGCATGGGAGATCCTGGATGTGTGTTGTCATAGAGTTGTACACATTCAGTTTCATGAGGCGATCTCTGACTCTTACAGTGGGATGGAATTTGCTCACCTGATCCCCATGTTTCCAAATTTGTGTGTAAGAGCATGAAGATGTCCATAATTCATCCATTATAGGTAAAACATTAGGGACTGCAGTTTTGAGAAAGCTTTGGATGCTTTACCATGTATCACAGCAATAGATTTAATTCCCATGACACAAAACATGGTAAACTGATTGTTCACAGAGAGGTGGTGATGAAGAATGGGTGAAACTGGCACAAGAGGAAGAAAGAATTTGGATGGAAAATGAGCAGTTGCAGAGCTCCCACACAAAACTACCCCAGATGTTCTGAGCAATTTCTAATAACCTCATAGAAACCCATCTGCAGTCAACAGGAGGAGTAGCCTTATTCCCTGCAGCACCACGAGTAGCATCTGCATGACGCCAAAGAGGAGATGGAACCATATAATGTTTGTTTTGAACCAGATTGTTTTCTCTCTGAGCTGTGGTACACATTTTACCTGAATTTATTAATAAAGTACAGTTTTACAGATTACAGGATGATAGTGAGTGTCTTTGAAAGAAGTGAAAGGATAGAAATAAAACAAGGAGGGACCTGGTATTGGAGACTATTACTCCACAGACAGTGGTGGTACAATTACAGCTGTCATAAAGACCATGCAAGTGACCTTAAAGACACAATAAATTCAAAATGACAAACTGGCAGCACATCAAAAAAGACAATGTGACATCAGTAGTATAGCTAGCATCTTTTAAGTTAGGGAACATTTACAGGGTTCTGGAGCCAGGATGTGATCAGGCTTTTCAATTTTGACTGTGATGGCATATAAAAAGCCTATGTAAGCTGAACAGAGATGAAAACAGCTCTGTGCAAGAGAGCACAGTATCTTGAGACAACATGATTAAAAAAAGAAAGCCAAGATATTGCAGAGAGAACATCAATGGAACCCACTGAAAGCTGAGACAATTTACATAATTGCACTGTGTTCTGCAGCACCTATCATATATGCTTAAGCTCCTGGTGTTACTGCAGGTGTGTGCATATCCCCCTGACCCAATACCTCAGTTATTTAATAGGATTGTTACCTTGTTCACACCGTCTGCCATTGCTTGTAGTGTTAGCTCTCTAGGCCCATCCACAGTCTTTCCATTATCAGTTGGCCCCCAGCTGGCACTGTAGATATCTATGACCTGAGGCATGTGACTGATAGAGGACGCCTCAATAATGTCTGTCATAAATGGCTGGTCAAGCATCCGAATACCTGTGGATTTAATCAGCATAAACATGGTATCACCTAGCAGCACCTGAGTAACTCCCCCAGACCCGTTGGTAGTTTTGGTCACTCAGCAGTTCTGCACTCACCATACACTTTGCATCAGGGTGTGCTTACCTCCCGGCAGGATGCAAGCACATACACACCCAGCCATAGCAATGTGGTGTGACCCAGAAAGAAAAAACACTTCACTGCTTTCTAAGTACATAGCATCATTCATCTGCTATTCAAAAACACTTGAAAAACATTCCTGTTAAGAAATCTCAGCATTTTATAGTAATGAAATACTAAAAGTATGTAGATCACATTTTTTATATAGGAATTGAGTCAGAGTTTCAGTGATACGATCCAAGGATGTGTCAACTTTATAAAACCTCAGAGCACTGTCCCAAAGCAAGGCAGAGTGTAGGACAGAGGCAGTCCAACCCTTACATCTATCATACTCCCCTATGCAGGACAGTGCTGCTGACAGCCAACCTCTGGGCCTTTGGATGAGACCTGAGCAGCCAGGGACACATTTCAGATCTCATTATGGCCTTGAGTTGAAGTTTTGTGTTTTTCCAAACAGCTTCAGGACAGAGATATGGCAGAAGTCAGCACCACAGAGCTAACCAGTGTTAATGGCAGTGGGAGCTTGATTTGGAAGCCAGTGCTTTCACTGTATGCAATACAAAATCCATAGGCCAAAAAAAGGCTGGAAAGCATGGTATTTGTAAAACTGACCCAAGCTGGATATTCCTGACCTGCTAATTTAGGCTAGAAACTACAAAGTTTCTACACTGAACCTCAGTGACTGAGAAAACCCATGATGTGCTTGTAAAATGCAGGTATGCACTGAAACCACAGAATTGATGACTGATCCTAGGGAAATGAGGGACGACAGAGCCAAGCCATCTGGTTTGATCCGAGGGGAAAAAAAAACAAAGAAAGAGGTAAAAGAAACAAAGCACACAATTCCCCACATCCTTGCTTACCAACTTCTAATCCAACCTGCAAACACACCTTTGAATCATGTCAGATGTGGACTACCAGCTCCTATTAATTTTCCACTGACCACACGGTGGTGCTGCAGGAGCACACTGTCCTCATATACGAAAGCACCATTCCCCCAAATCACTGGGGATCTTGCTACAGAGCAGGCAAATCTGGCAGGCTGTTTGTCTTCAGAAAAGGCCTTCAGCTTTCAATCTTTAAACAACCAGTTTGATGCAGTAGATTATACTACAAATAAATATGAGGTGCTGTTAAATTCCTATGCCTCAATTCACAGTCCTCTAAAAGTGATTGCCAGAATGCACATTTCATGAAACGTTGCATCCTTGGAAGACACATCGTCATTACTGGTGGAGAAAGGCAAGCACCAGACCTCCTTGGCCAGTTACTAATTCCTAAGCGACACTTATGGGGGTAACTGCTTAGCACATATAGCTTGGTGTCCTGGAGGTCCTGCTTTGGAATGTGCAGGTGACAGGCAAAATGTGGCCTTCCCTTACTCCTCTGTGTCAGCAGTGAACCAGGCCAAGCAGAGGAAGCAACAGGTGCATTTATGATGGAGTTTTCTAGTATGTGCTGGGGAATTAAATGTAATTCCTAAGCACCCATCTCCACTTGCTACTCCCTTCCTGACGTTGTGGAGCAACCATACAGTGAGGAAAATGGATTTCTTTAGGATGAAACTCAACTGACATATCCTGTTCAAGAGCTCAGCTCCAATCTCTGTACTCAGTCCATCAGGGCAGAAAAAAAGCTACCTCAAAGTAAAAATATCCAGCACACCTGAGGAGAGAATGTTGAGTGCTAAGCACCAGCCAGTCTGCTCTGGGCATCTGTTCTTACCACTCCACATTCTTCATTAGAAGGGAGGAAAGCAACAACTGCAGAGATTTACAGCACTGCAGGGCCTGCACTCTGAAAGCCTAAAGCATACAAGCAGCATAGGATTTGCATTTTCAAGTACAGGTTCCAAGTGCAGCAGGAATTTGCACCTTCTCTCCTGAAAAATAAGATTTGCCACAAACGATTCTTCCATGATGCAGGGAAGGAGCACTGAAAATGATAATACAGAGGTTAACAAAAGGAGGAAGAGAGCTGTTCCTTTGCAGTGTCATTGAAGAAGCTATATAGGGCCCTCAGTGAAGGCAGCAGAGACTCTCCACAGCTAGTGTGAGAAGTAATAAACACATGGCCCAGTGCCAGCCTGCAGTCCTGGGCTGGGCTATGCTCCCTGTTCCTGCAGAGCAGTGCTGCATGAAGCACAGTGCTGTCAGGACTGCTAGGGTTGGTACTGTACCTGCCACCTTGGAGTTGTAGGCGACTCCCACACCACAGATGTTGTTGTTGGCAGCTGCAGACACCTCTCCTGCACATCGAGTCCCGTGGCTGCGGAGGGGAAAACAGAGACACCACATTAACCCCAGCTAATGCAGCAGTCACTCTGCACATGCTGGACAAAGGAGCATCACCCTGGTCCTGTCTTTGCCTCACTGCAGTCAGGACCCAGCCCTTCAGAGGAAAACCCATGGCAAACTTGAATGCTGCACTAGGATACTTGGATGAGTTCATTCCATCCTGAAGCAGCAAATAATCAGTTTCCCCTCTGCAGCATGAATGATGCTTGCTCTGAGGTTAACACAGAGACCTGTGCTTCATTTAGCTGTGAAGTTATTCAGCCCATTCCAACTCTGGCTGTCAAGCAGCTTCTGCCTTGTGACCAGCTACTAGGCAGCAGAACCATTCCTGGAAACAACAGTGTAAAACTAAAATCAGCACCAATTCCTGCATTTTTGCAACCAGGCCACGTGACGCCTATTACTTTGAGCCCCGTGAATACGTTTTTCTCCTCAAACACCTATCAGATACATACCACTGCCCACAAGGAATGCTACAGAAAGAGGTGGTGCAGCGCCAAGCTGGAGTAGCAGAAGAGAACCACAAGGACCAGCACATTCCTTGGCAGCAGAGCTGTGACCAAGGGCATCCAACCCTTCCAGTGTCCAGCTGCCAGGAGAGCCACAAGCCTGCACAGAGCTGCAGCTGTCAGTGCCCAGATAGCCTGCAGTCAGCTTGAATGTGAGATGCTTCTGCTCTGACCCCGAGGTCCAGGCTCAGCCTGACGCGCAGCATTTCAAGAACACTGTGTCTCTGAAGTGCTTTACAGCTCTTAGCACAGACCCTGCTGCTGTTGGTGGCTGCGAGGCAGGCTTACAAGAAGGCAGATCGCAGATCGTTTTTCTTCCTCTTAATTCACCACAGAAATTAAACCGCAGAGAAGATAGAGAAGGGCAATATAATCTCATTTTAAAACAAATAGCAGATATAGCAGAGAAACAAGCGAAACCTATGCAGCTGTCAGTTTGGTTCCTTTGAGATGCATCGATATCAATCTTTTCCACCACTCACATCCACCCACTCCGCGTTCCAGCTGGCATTGCTCCTGCAGCATGCTAAGGACTCGTGCAATTAGCAGTGCTGTCTTCTAGAGGCTGTGGAGAGTCCCAGACAAACCATCCCCAGGGGCAGCAGGATTGTTTTGTTTTAATCATCTTTTTTCTCCCTCTGTCCTTTTTAAGCACCTCTGGCAAAGGTGAGCGTAAAATTAATCAAGGGGTGAGAAGGAACACATTCTTTTTATTGCCTCACTCAGAAGAGGGTATTTTTCAAGGTAGCCTCCAGAAAGAAAACGACTGCTCTCAAATGCACACAGTGCTGTGATCACAAAAGATCGCAGGCAAGTTCCTTTTAAAAAGGGGTAGAGAGGTGAGTGGTGAGGACTTCTTCAGCTGCTGGAGAAATTTCTTTCAACAACCAAGCAGGTTTTCCCTCGTGCCCTTGTTCAAGGAGCTGTGAGGAAGCACACCGTTGCTAGGCATTCGTTATCTGGTGGCCTGTGGACAGCTACAAGCCACAAAATGGAATAAACGGCTTGGTTAAAAAATTGCCTTGACTGAGGCTGGGGTGCAAAAAAATTTAAATAATATGGGTGGCATCATCAGGTGGACTCTGTCTCAAAGAGAGAAAAAATAGGAGGACTGTTGGAAGGTCCTCTCCCCTTTTTCCCCTCCACACTGGCCAAAATGATGAAGGCTGCCAGTAGCCCTGCTCCAGCAGCTCAGGGTTAAGGTAATGTGCTGCTGAATGGAGGGGAAAAAATAAGTCACACGTGAGCTATTGCAAATGCATTTGGTTGAATTATTAATGGCAAATAGCAGACTTTTCTAATTTAGGCCTATTTGCTGTTCATGTATCATTGATAAATCCATTGCGGTTTCTACGAAGTGACCTGTCTCATGGGCACAGATCACAGCTTCCTTCTCTAATGTTCATCTCTTTGCTACATTCCAGTCTTTAAAACAAGGGGATAAAACCCATTCGAGAATATTTTCATCTACGAATGAGATACATCAAAGGCAAAGTGGATGTTAGCACATAGAGCAGCTTTTTCAATGAACACTGTATAAATGCAAACATTTTATATGAACACACATGAAAAATTATGGTGGACTGGGAAACAGCTTTGCCTATCTGAACTAGTTATCAAAATTTGACTCCTTGATTTTGGAAACCATTTCTATTTCTGAAGCCCACTGCCAACCCCATGGGCAGTCTCTTCTATTTAGATGTTTTTGAGAAGAGGTGGCCCCAGTTTTCAGGGGAGGTTGTTTTTTTCCGGCTTTGAAATACATCAGCAAACAGCAAAGGACAAAATTCTGCCTTCCTGATGCCAAGTGTCTGTAAGAAGGGCTATGCTGAGCTACAGGCTCAACAGTGGGGATGAGCTGCCTGTCCCAACCACCTCAGGTGCTTGCAGTGGGCAGCAGTCAAATATGCAGAGCTCAAAGGAACATTTTTGTAAGTCAAATGCTCTTGCCTTTTCATCTGCATGATGCTCTCAGCCTCTGAGCACTGGGAGAGCATAGCATAGGGGGGGGATCTACTTGTGGAAGGTGCCCCTCCACCTGCATCTGAGTGTGCAAAGAACCTGCAGTAATGCTGTGGCTCTTTCTTCCCTTACAAGAAATGCTGCAGACAGAATGAGCTGTTGGATATAAGAATTCTCAATTAGTGCATTGTTCTCAGTGTATTGATTGGAAAAAAAAAAAAATGAAGAAGAGGGGAGCAGGTGTTTTTGCTCTGTTAATGAGCACTGTCTGGAAACCAAAGGGAGACTCAGTGGGGTTCTGCTAGAATACATAATAAATAATGGCCCCTTTTTTTTTTTTTTTTTTTTTTTTTTTAAGCCTCTGAAGAATATGGATTTCCAAGACAGGCAATATTCGAGAACATGGATTTCCAAGACAGAATAACAGCAAACTCTCTTCTGAGAGAATTTACTGAATAAGAAGCTATAGCAGTGGAAATAGTTATTTTTATCCTGACAGAAAGCTGTGATCTCAGTGCTCTAAGATGGAGGGCCTTGTGCATGCCCACAACATGAAAAGAGAGAGCTGTACAGAAAGGCCAAGCTACTCCTGACTCCCACAGATACCTCTGCACCATGCAACATGGTACCTACCACATCCCAAATGTTATGCAGGATTAGGTGTTAAAATCACTGCCAGTTCCTAAAACAGGTGCTAAAAAGCCACTCTGAGCTCTGGGGGCTGCCTCTGCTTTTGGGAACTGGGCTTGGTTCAGGTTTGTGCACTCGGCATTCCCCATCCCAAAATGGTGACCTCCATGGTCCCCAAGCCATGGGTCTGAGCACAGTCAAGCAGACAGTGCAGTAAGGATGGCAATAAGTAACTCTAGTGCCCAACCATCTGTGTGCCTCTGCCCTAACAGCAGCCCAACTGCCTGCCTGCAGCTTCCTGCCCACAGCACCGAGTTGTCCCCCTCTAAAACCCACTCTGCTTGATTTCACAGAAAGCCAGTAGCTCTCAATAAAGGCCAGAGTGCCTCCAGCAACCTTACAAAGAACAAAGTAGAATCTGTGCCTATAAGCAGAGCAGCTGGAATTAATGAAATACTCCATGCAAAAACCTCTTCCTTTTTTTCTTAAAGACTAATGACACTTTGCACATGCAGCTGGCAGCTCACAAAAGCCCCTTGGTTCATCTTTCTAAAAAACAGTCTTCTGGTTCTTATTCTTGAATTGCTTACAGAGAAACATATTCGTTATGGAAAAAGGGATATTATCCTATTTTGAGACTGATCTCCTGCATGCATAAAATTCAATGGATGATACAGAACTTACTGCAAACTGAGCAAAATGGAGTCTTTATTGTAGGTTGTTTTGAATGTTTTCTTGTGTAACTGTAGTCTATCCAGAAGCACCTGTGCAGTTACACACATGCATGGACTGTCACAGGCAGGCAGTTGTAAGCACCAGGTAATAATATCAGGAGTAAGGAGTTATGGCAATAGCTTATGGGTGGGCACATCAACATATTTAACAACACAGTATAGAAATATGCAGAGAAAAACATAGCTACAACTACTCCTGAACAACTGGGTACAAGTTGAGGAGTTCCTGGATTGTGCTGGCAAGAAATGGCTGCTTAATTGATGTGTTGCTCCATGATTTACCTTGCAAGGCAGAAAATCACCTATTCCACCAAAGAGATCTCATGGTTCATGACAAAGAAGGTACTATTTTTCTGGAAAAATTAATCAAGAAGAAATTCAGCAGAACAATTGCTACTTTTCCCCTCCTGACTATCTCTCTTCCAGCTGAAGCATCCAAGCAGAATGCCATTCTCAATATTTACAGATCAGGGTGCAGATAACCATGCTTCGTACTCTCAATTCTTCCCTTGTGTGCCCAAATTCAGCCAGAAGCCCTGAGGCCAGGGGCCCTGCCACATCTAGGATGCTCAAGGCTTCCCTAAGAGAATTCAGGAGGTACCTCTGCCTCCGGTGCTACCTTGCTGAACACGTGAGGACTGTAAATTGTGCCCTACTATAAAATATTTGATAGCAGCACAACTGGTGTTAATGGGGCTTGGCAGAGCACACATAGTTTTATGAAGTTCTACGCTGAAAATGACACAATCAACCATTACCCACTAAAGCTAAATTTAATTTTCCTCTGTGCCGCTCCACAACATTCTTCTCCTACAAAGATCCTTCTCTTAAATAAAGCAAAAAAGGCAGCAGACCTTCACAAATTAGAGCCCCAGTCTTTCTCTGACTTTCCATCCACTAATTGGATTCATGCTAGTTTAAAAGTGTCAGATGTCCTTTCCTGAAATAAAGGAGAAATATCATTGGCATCTCAGTTCAGCTGAAAAATAGCCGGTCTCTGAAAGAGGTAATCGGGGACATGGCAGCTCCTAAATCTGTTTGATCCGTTCCAAGAAGCCTGTGTTTGAGGTGGAAGCACAGCTGCCCCAAATCTTTCTTGTGCTACCTGACTGAAGTAACACTGATTTCTTTAAAAATAGAAGCCAACAAAGCAAAATGAAGACCTGCACATCCAAAACTCAGAGACCATTCATGCAGCTGTACTAAGAGATGAAAACCACATCAAATAGGCCTAAAGTATTTCTGTAAGTACTATGACTGAGCCCCAATACTGCTATGAGTTTCCAAATCCTCACTGCTGCTGCTGCTATATAAACTTTGATGACATCAATTATACTTATATCCAGAAGACCTTTGCAAACTTTCTTGGAAATACTCTGAAACAAGTTTTACAAATCTAAGCCAGAACCTACCCGAGACCCTGGGGAAAATGTGGCTGAAGAGCTGAAGAAGGAAAAGTGAGTCTTGGGCAATCATCTGTCAGGAGAAACTAAGCAACAAACAGCTGTGCTGTTGATTCCAAGCTTAAAACACAACAGAGCAGGTTCCCAGCTAGTGTACAAGGACTTCAATTCCTAGCCTGAAATGTTACTCCATCACAGTCCTTAAATTGCATTGAAAAGGCAGATGATTCAGAACTTATGTAAGACTTAATTGTTTTTAAGCTGGTCATTCTACACCACGCTGCTTTTCAGCCTCCTTAGTTTACAATCAAGAGAAAATATCATTTCTTCCCACCCCAAAGCCTTTTTCTGTCAGGCTCCAATCTGCATAAAATTTCTTCTTCCAGCTTACTCTCTTAAAAATTAAACAGCAGTCATACAGCATTGGATGCAGTAGATAGGAAACCCATCAGAATTATATTAAACTTACAGAGCTGGCTTATTATATTGTCATAGGATAGATGACAGAAAATTTTATGTGGCTATCACCCATAAAAGCAATTTAAATATATACTCTTTTGAAGCAGCATCTTCATTTGAATACTACAGTGAACCATCTTTAAACCATCTATGAAATGACATTATCTAGAGATGATCTAACAAAAGGAAGTCAGAAGTAACATCCAATTTTATAAACTGCAGTGAGATTGAAGCTACCATTTTGGCCAGCACAGAATCTAGCAGAAAGTCTTCCACAAGTCTTAGCAAATACTTTTAATTTCCTATGCAAACAGAAGTGAACAGCAAGCCACTCGAAACCCACTTACCTGTTGAACCAGTCATCTGTATAGCGGGGGTAAGGGTAGGGATCATTACTGCTGAAATCGTAGCTAGCTTGGGCATTCTGCAAAACACAAAGCTCAGTAAATGCACAGGAAAGCAGACATGCTAGGTGAAGCAGGACACACATACCCACAGAAAATCTCATTAGGTATTGGGTTCTTTTTTCTCCCCTGGAAAAGAAGATGTCATTCCTTCTCTGTGAAATTCCGCTTGTTTATGTTTCAGCAAACACCATTTTGGACACTCAACACCACTCCCAAAAGTGCTTTATTAGAGGATGTAGGTCCTATTTCAGCTTAATTTGATCACCCCGCCAACATTTTCATGAGCTATTAGGCTACTTAGTATGGCAGCACAAAGATTAAACAACATTTCCCAATCAGTATTAGAAATGGCCACACACTTGGGGTCTTCCTTCTTACTAAGAAAAATAGTATGGCTATGAAATTTTTCTCAAAATTCTAATGTGAAAACTGTATTAATGTTCAGGACATACGTGTCAAAATTCTCTCTGCGTATTTTCTTGATCCTTCAGTTGTTTGAACAGCTTTATAAATGTGGCTGTCGGACCCTTCTGAGAATTCCATCCCAGCCTCTCCTTTTTACACAGTCTAAACCACTCATGATTTTGCCCCATCAGCAGAGCTGAGGACACTCAGCAACTTTTTGATGCTATATTTGAGAAGCAACTGGAGAGTTTCAGAAAGTCAAGTGCATCTTCTTTCTTCTCTCTCAATGAAAAGAAATAAATTAAGGGTGACTGAAAATTAAGCCTTTAAAAATATTTAGAAGCTTCCTCACAACTGTATGATCATAGAGTTTATATTTTAATAAACACCATACACAAGGAGTAGAATTATGTTAATTCTTAATTAATGTACTTACATTCTTTTTAAGATTTGGCTGAGCATGCTATTGAAGATAATTTGAGTCTGAATAGCTTTGCTCCTAAAAACATTCCTTTTCAGCAAATTCTCAGCTCCAGGGGTGCAGGAATAGGCAGTCCATTAGTAGCACCAAAGACTTTGGATTTTAGATTCAAAATCACCAGCTCCCAAAAACTCTTGTGCCAGAATGAAACAGAGACAACATTGTCCTTGACCCTTGGAGGGCAAATTGAAGTATCTTTCTGGTTACTGTCCAATGAGTTTTTGGGTCATTATTCCAGAGAGCTTGGTTCTTTATATCCAATATGGAGAATAAATATTCTGCAGTATTTTAATGGAGTCCAGGCTTGCAGAATGCCAGCCACATGGTTCAGTGCTGTTCTCCAGCTCAGATATAGCCAAATACCTTTATAAGTATCTTTACTGATCTCTCAGTATCTCTAAACTTAGGCCATGATTTTCAGCCTTAAGATGCCTGTTAATAATTTCAGCTGTAGCCACAGGTTCTCAGTGCTTCTGAGCCTCTGTGCCCAGGTGCATGTTTAATTTACCTCTTTTAATTATCACAGTTGGTTATACAGCACTTTGAATGGCATGGATCTGTATGAGCAAAGAGTAAATAGAATATGACTTTTCAGCCGGGGAAAAAGGGGAACTTGACAGTTGTCTATAAATCACAAATAGCACAGAGAAGGTGGACAGGGAATTATTTACTACTTCTCATAATGTAAGAACTAGCAGGAATCCACAGAAATTACCAGAGGGAAGATAGAGAAGCAGCAGAAAACAGCAAGAATTGCTTTTCCACAGAGCATATAATGAGTTACAAAATTCATTGGCCCCCAGCAATACAGAGGTCAAAAGCCTGAAAAAAAAGAGGTTAGACAAATTAATAGAAAATGAATCTGGAAGGAGCATTAGATGCTGTGCTTCCTCCTTCTCCAGTAGTCCAGAAAACTGCAAACACTGGAAGCCAGGATGCCACAACCATGTAGGCATCTGACAGCCTCTGGCCTGGTGGCTGTGCTGCTCCTCCAGCACCCACTCCTGGCTGGCTGTTGCTGGAGACTCTTTCTACTACTGCAGGAATTTCATGAGTAACCCAAATTGTTCTGTGAGATGTGGCAACTCACACAAGAGATGGGTGATGTACCACAACTAGGGTCCTGTGTGATAAAAGCTCTGGGCAGCCTGGTCTGATGGTTGGTGACCCAGCACATAGCAGAGGGGTTGAAACTAGATGATCATTGTGGTCCTTTTCAACCCAGGCCATTCTATGATTCTATGAAAAACCTTGTGGCACATATAGCCTATCTCAATGCAACAGAGGAGGTTTGGATTCTGCAATGTCCAGGGGAGTTGCAATAAGGATTTGCACAAGGGGCCAAGTCTCATCCCACGCATAAGAAGAAATGAGCATCAATAAAACCAAATGAACGTGTCAACAGTCCTGTTCTTTATTAACAAGTTGTATGGGGCTGCTGAATCATGGCCTGAACCTCTAATTAATCACCTGCGGTGAGCAGTGACTCAGCCACGAAGCACAGGTGCAGGCAATTCACCTGTTCTGCAGGAAGGGGTGGAGCCTGGCTGCACCTCTCCTAGACCTCAGCCAAACTCCTGGATATACTATCTCATCTGTATACTCATTGATTGTACACAAGTGCAGTATCTACTCCTAGCAGAACAAGGTGGAAAAATGCATCTTATGGTAAAATTAAAACAGAAATGATGACTCTCTGAGCAATTTAATTAGAAGACAAAATCTACTCTGTCAGTCTAGACTTGGAAACCTTTGGAGATAAATGAATTCCAATCACAAATTAAATAAACTTCCTTATATAGCTGCCTTGGACTAGACATGGCCTGGAAATAATGCAGACTGCAGATAACTGAGCTTATTTCCAGTGATTTCAGATCTTTTTCACACAGCTATGAGCTAACTGGGTACTAAATGTAATCCAATATATTACCAATTCCTTACTCAGTTAGAACTTCTGGTTTCACTTCATTGTATGGATAAGAATTGAAACTCAGTTGTGAGTCAGCTCAGGTTTTTTTCTCATAGGGAAGGAACACAGTTGTACTGACACGGGCTCTGAGTTGACAGGAGGGCTGCTGAGGCTGATTTTTTCAGGAAAACATGAGACATTCAAGCGCATCATGAAAGCTATCAACCACTCCTGACTCTGTTAATTTCCTTGTGTAGAGAATTATAGATGGAAAAATCCTTCTAGCTGTGCAGACATACCACTTGTGTCTAGAATGGTGACGGGAAAATGGATTCCACTAATGATTCAGCCCACTCTGCAGCAGACTGAAGCTCTGCTCTATGTCCCATGTAACCAACAGCCAGACTATGGAAAGGTTGCTTTAGGCAGGCTACAAACCAGGTTGCACAACGCTCTTCCAAATCTTCCAGTTTTTACTCACTTGATTTTGGATAGCTGCACTCGGAGGAAAAAGATATCTAATTTAGCAGGAACCATCGACAAAGTGCAAAATTAAGAAGAGTTCTTGGAAAGAAAACAACTGCTGACTGCAAGATTTATCTTCATTAAGGTCTTTGGAAAAAGACAGCAAGTTTCATCTTCATAAGCGAACATTCTGCCCACGCTATGAAAGCTGTGGAATTGGAAATGAAACAGCACTGACGAGTACAAATGGACTGCTTCAAGTTCCTAATTTAAAGATCAAATTCTCAAATATCTAAGCTAGAACATATTTTATTTTTCCTTCCCTGTTCCCCCCCCAACCCCTACAGCACTGGATCAAAAAAGGAACGGCTTCAGTTGGTAGCCAAAATGAATCATCTTGTGTTCTGGGAAGTGAACGCTAAAATCTGTGACCCGCCGTTCTCATCCACAGGCTGGCCCTTCCAGCAGGCAGCAAGAGACTGTTTATCACTAACTCAGAGATGAGGTGGCAATGAAAAGCAGTGCACATGAAGATCTGCAGCAGCACAGTGAAATAAAAATATATTGCCTTTCAACTCATGTAATTTGGTTTTTCAATTTTAATGTCCTACCAGTAGGTATTTCTCTTAGACTTGATTTGTCTGTCTGATATTTGGTTGTCAGTATCTGATGTAGTTGCCCAGTCTTTCGACCATCAGTGGAATGATCAGATTCAGGAAGCAACTCAGTACTGTCAGTTTTAGGCTGGAGTCTAGACCTGGACGAGTCCTGAAGCATGGCATTACAACAAGATCAATCTTACCCCCTGTGTTCAATCAATACCAGTTCCTTATTGTAAAAAGATTTGAACCTGACATTCATCAATACATAATTACATGTAAATAATTTCTGCTGTACAACAGAGAATGGCTGTTTTGCTTTGAAAGAGAGCAATTATCTTGTATTTTAAGGCATATATCTACTTTTGCTATCTAGTTTTCTGCATCTTTATCCCAAGTAACATGCTGACAAAAAATGATGATGAGATTCTTTCAATCATTTACTAAGTAATAGTTTATATACTAGGATACAAATTGATGACTTTTACCTGGGTATAAAATTCAGCTTTCCTTAAAAATAAGCTTTGCCTACCCAAGAATTGCCCTGTACTTTTAAAAATATATGCAGTGCCATCTTTTCTGTAAAACATTCATTCTGTATAATACAACAATAACAGTAAATCAATTGTCCCATGTGTTGCTCAGATCTGTAATAAAATTATGTACCTTGAGTAATGCAGCAAGCCCATAAATTTTTATATAGCTTTACAAGCCTCTAAAGAGTAATTCACATATAATTCTCTTTTCCTCCTTAACTCATGAAATTTGCCTATGCTTACATGAAAGTCCATGAAACAAACAATTAAAGAGAAATGTCTACTGGCCACAATCTGATTCTATTAATGATGTTAAAGCACTGATGTATTTAGCCCAGAGATTTAAAATAAAAGAAACATCTTTAACACAAACGGCATTTGCCTTACCCTCTTCAAGAAACTGCAATTCCTTGTAGATCTGACACAGTGAGCTACCTTTTACTTGTTTGAATTCTTTACTCATCCAAAGAGGGAGCAAACTCCTAAGCTCAAATTACAACGTATGACCTCTTTGACAAACTGTATTAAAATAACACTGCATGTCATATGGTGGGAAATGAAATTCAGTTTTGTAGACTCAAGCCTAAGAAAATAGAAACGCTTCCTATGAGGCAAAGAAAAG